CGGGAGTGGCCCCGCGCAAGCAGGGAGCGGCGCCGCGCACTCCAGCCCGGAGGGCACCTCGAGGGAGGGCGCGGGGCGCAGCCCTCTGGTCTCGGCGGCTCTGACAGACGCCCGGGGGGCCGGGAGCCGGGCTGCCCTGAGCGGGGTGGACGCGGACGCTGGACTCGTGCGGGGTTCCGGGCGTCGCGATGAACATCGTGGTCGAGTTCTTCGTGGTCACTTTCAAAGTGCTCTGGGCGTTCGTGCTGGCCGCGGCGCGCTGGCTGGTGCGGCCCAAGGAGAAGAGCGTGGCGGGCCAGGTGTGCCTCATCACGGGCGCCGGCAGCGGCCTGGGCCGCCTCTTCGCGCTCGAATTCGCCCGGCGCCGGGCGCTGCTGGTGCTCTGGGACATCAACACTCAGAGCAACGAGGAGACCGCGGGCATGGTGCGCCACATCTACCGCGACCTGGAGGCGGCCGACGCCGCGGCGCTGCAAGGTAACTCGGACCTGCGCCGGATCAAGCCTCTCCCCACCCCCGAGCCGACCCCGGGAGGGCCCGAAACCCCACTGCCCGGGTCAGCCCCGCTCTCGAGGAAGAGAACCACCCCCTCGTCTTCTGCGAGTGGAATTTGCCCCGTGAGAAAGGAACACGGTCACCTCTGTTTTAGAACACGGGAAGGTGTGGTGAACCGTCTTTACGGAGGTCCTGTCTCTCTGGGGACGAATGTCGGGTTTCCTAAACGCTTTGAGGATAGGGAAGGCAGAGGGAACTTGCTAGCACAGGTTTGAATCCTAAAGAAATGCCTCACTCCCGTTTGCGGTGGGGAACTAAAGTGTCTGGGAAGTTGTTCTCACACTCCACTGATGCCTGTATCTGTGTTACTGTGGTCTGAACCGCTGAGGCTCGGGCAGCATTGATGATTTCACTATAACTTTAGCCACAAGAAAATAATTAACATTGTTTCACCAGAGACAAGTAAGTGCTTTAGTTATGTACTCAGCCTGATTGAAAGATGTCCTACCTCTTTCAAAGCGCTTGGAAGATTTAAGCCTCACTGTAAACTTATTTCATGTTTTTGATAACCTCAGGAAATCTGCCTCGCTGTGTATTTATTAAATAATCTGAATCTGAGATTTTTTTTTTAAAGCCAAAGCAGAGACCATAACCAGCCATAAATATTGGTCTAAGAAATTTGATAATGGCTCTTACTCTTTGATAAAATTTTTCATTTCCAGAGAAAACATATGAACTATACTGAGAAGATTAACTTGGGACACCACCCCTGCCCTATATCGATCATTTTTCACCAAAACTATTGGCACCTGCCTTTTAGGTCAGAAAATCAAAGGTCAAAAATGTTACATTTTCAACAGTGGTATGGAGGGGTAGCAAATACAGATTTTTGTGCTCCCTTCCAAAACCTAAGAGAGAAAGGTATTCAAAAACCAGGAAAGAGAATTTTGGTTTTTAAATTGAGATCTTATGTGGTAAAATTGCATATTTACCTTTAAGTTTGATTTATGTGAGGTGCTTCTTAGGAGAGCTCAGCTATTCCAGTTAGAACAAACCAGTGATCTCCATTCTTTCATGAGAAACTTTAGGTTCATTTCTTGGCTTTGGATGACTTCAGATTGTTAACTACAGTTTTGATTTGTGAGCCTTAAGGGGAGTTTCCATTTTGAGGGTGCTGGTACTAAAAGAGTGAAAGCCGGTTCTGGCCACTATTCCTCAAAAAAGAGAGGAGTGTGTAGTGTTTGTGTTTGGGGCGGGGAGGGTGTTACTCTCTGGGCTGAGATCAGTTCTTTCCAGGTGTCTTTAGCTCCAGGAAGCTGATCCCATGAGGTCTGACTTGTATGGGGCTTGTCACAATTACATGATTTTCCCCTAAGCAAAGTTATCTAGTAAATTGCTATAATTCCCAAAGACTTTTGGGGGAGGAAGGCAGCTGTAAGTTCAGTCATTGGCAAGCCTCAGGGTGTTAGAAATTTGAAGCTCACTGTAGTATTTTTGTTTTGTGTGATCTTTGTCCTACTGATTGCCATGTGACTCACATTTTGCACCCCCCACCCCCTTCTCTGTTCCATTTTTTTTCCCCTTCATCTGGACTTCTGAGGACAGCTGGGAATGGTGAGGAAGAAATTCTGCCCCACTGTAACTTGCAGGTTTTTACCTACACCTGTGATGTGGGAAAGAGGGAAAATGTCTACCTAACGGCGGAAAGAGTCCGCAAGGAGGTCGGCGAGGTCTCAGTCCTGGTCAATAATGCCGGCGTGGTCTCTGGGCATCACCTTCTGGAATGTCCCGATGAGCTCATTGAGAGAACCATGATGGTCAATTGCCACGCACACTTCTGGGTAAATATAAACATCCTTGTTTTTATTACTAGGCCCTCCTCAGTGAGAAGGTTGGGAAGGAGCCCGACTTCAGTACCAGCCTGAGAGACAGCCTCCTTCTCATTTGTTACTTCCTCGTGGTAAATTACACTGTATGGCCAGTTACTGTCAAATAATTATTTTCTGCCCTGTCCCATGCAGTCTTTTTGAAGAGGGTAAAGGACTGAACATTTTGAACTAGTTTTGAAAGATTGCCATACAAATAACAAGAGGAAGCATAAAACCCTGGGCTTGTTTATTTTACTTTCCGTTGAGTTTGTAAAACCTTGCTTGTTCTTATGAATTCCTGAAGTCAGAGTTTAGGCTTCCAAATTACTGCTCAGCCACATTTTAGAAAGTGCCAGAGATTCTGAGATCAGCATTTGTGGTCCATTGGGAGTGGTCAGGCCACCCTGGCGGTCACTTAACATCCACTGACCATCCACAGGGTCTGTGGCATTGTCCTGATGGAGTACATCTCAGAATTTTCTCAGCTTACAAGATGCCTCTCTTAGGAGAATAGAGGTCACCCTGATAGGACCACAGAGTCACTATATAAGAGGCAGGAGGACTGTGAGACTTGGGGAACCAGGGACTTAAACCACATCAGCTTCTAACCATCAGAGCTACTACAACATCTAAGGATGAGAGGGAAGGAGGGCCTTCTTGCTCTGGGGACCCCAGTTTTTCAGCTAAACTTCAATAATGGTAGCTGTGAAGTTCTCCCCTATAACTACCCTGTTGACCTTCTTTATTCTCTTCTTCCTCCACAGTAATTCCCCTTTACTGTTGTAGATAGGTAAGAGCCAATAAAGAAAGGGTAAGGAGATAGGATTTTCGTTTTTGTATTTTCCATAGGCGGATTAGCCTTCTAATGGAACACAACAAAGAACTGTTTCTTCTAAATAGGTCACATTAAACCTCATTAATTTTTTAGCAACTGCTTAAAAACTTAATCTGGCTTTAGAAGTACTTACTCAAATGTTGTTCCTTGAACATCAAACCATTTCTCTGATCCTGAAAGAAGCTTACTTTAATGTTTTATTTTAAAACATGAGCTTTATTTAATTCATTTCCAAACCTCTAGAAATGAACACACAAGTGATATGAGCTAACTCATATGGATGTTTTAAATGAGTGAGGTGATTACCAAATACAGTTTGGGGGCATTTAAGTGTGCTTGTGCATGTGGGCGTGT